CATACATATGCATATATATGTATACATAACATACATAACATACATAAGCATACATACATATGTACGTATATTTGATTAAAAAATGATCTAATCACAATATTGTAAATCGGGAACGCAGCAAAAGTGATCACAATTAAATTACCATGTAAACAGCAACCGATAATACAGGATGTGGAAATTGGATCAAGATAATGTGACGCATGTTGATACGTTCTATAGTATTCTAAATTTTGTATTATTTAACTGTTGCAATATTGGTGTGTAAAGAATCGGAAAATTTTTTGTTTCAAGAGAATTGTTTATAGGTAATTCCAATTCCAATAACGTTATCTACTTCCGATTACTATTTCGGCTTGTGAGCGTATTGCATATTTGTATATCTTTATATCAAACTATTATTTTGAGGAGAATTTCAGCAAGATTTTTCTTAAAATAAACAGTTTGTGATATAAAGATATTTAGATATCATATACTCATATTTTAACTGTTACGCTTAACGCTTACAGAAAGCATTATTGGAGTTCTATGTACATGTATATCTCGACTTCTATCATGATTGATTGTTCTGCAGAAACTTATAGCGATCCTGACTTTTCTGCGTTTCTAATTTTATTGTGCTTAAATCGATGTGCAACCAAAAAGGTATACATATATTATATATACGTCATATATACATACATACATGACACACATACATTATACACATTACGCAACACACATACATATTAACTATGGCAGTCTGTCAAAATACACGCGTTTATATAATATATATTTATACTAACAAGCGCCTGGTTTGAAGTGCCCTATAAACGGAACGATATTAGCACTTTATGACATAGTCTCACGACCGTTAGCGAAGTAAATTATTATACTGACCAATCTTGTTGATTATTCAGCATTAAAAGACTAACTGGCACTGCACTAATATTAATACCGTTTTTAAGCGCGATGGGATAAAATTCTCTTATGTTTTATACTTATCATACGTATTTCTTGTAGCATAAATATTATCGGTTTTTGTACAAATTCCACATGAAGTCATATCAGTAACGTAATACAATTATACTTGACATAACTAAAAATTGTATTTCGAGAACAGTATCTTTTTTATATATAAATTGAAATAAGAAAAAGAGTTATCCTACAGCTTGTTCCTTTTCACGACGGTCTCATGATTTTTTTGTATGCTCATTACGCAAGAGGAAAATATGTACAGGGTGTAAACGAGTAAGTGATCCAACTTTTGACTACACGATTTAGCATTATCAATAACACTGTAGTTAATGTAGTCATGTATAGATGTTGCACGAGAAGGTTTACTACTTAACGTAGTAATGCATTATAAAAGTGTGATGCATTACCACGTTAAGTATTTACACCTTTATGTACTTGATCTTAGCTTAAATAGCCGAGAAGTCAACTATCTCAACTTGCCGATAACGACATGATGCGTGTAACATCTATACGCGACTCCATTAATTATAGTGCTATCGGTAATGCTAAATCCTGTGGTAAAAAGTTGGATCACTTACTCGTTTACATCCTGTATACAGGGTGTTTCAGAACTTTGGGACACGGGCTCCGTAGGGACATAGAGCTAAGTGAGAAGAACAAAAAAGTCCTGTACCATAATGTGAAAATCGTAATAGTTTTTTAGTAATAACTGCGTAAAGTTTGGCATTTTCCACGCCTATCACGGTCTATAGACACTCCGCGGCAAGCTGTGTGCGTAGGGGCTGAGCGATAACGCGTCTCGCGCTGACTGTCGCGATGGCGTCTTAGCGCTTTGACGCCGCGCGACGGTCAGCGCGAGCTGCGTTATCGTTCAGCCCCTACGCACATAGCTTGCCGCGGAGCGTCTATAGGCCGCGCTGGGCGTGGAAAACGCCTAAGTTTGCGCTGTTATAATTAAAAAACTATTAAGCCCTAAACACAATGCCAGGCAACAGGCAATAAGAATAAAAATAGACCAATCACAATCGATTATTACAAGAATAATCTATTGTGATTGGTCTATTTTTATTCTTATTGCCTGTTGCCTGGCATTGTGTTTAGGGCTTTACGATTTTCACATTATGGCACAGGACTTTTTTGTTCCTCTCACTTAGCTCTATATCCCTACGGAGTCAGTGTCCCAAAGTTCTGAGACACCCTGTATATAAAAAAAAGAAGAAACGGTAAATAACGAAATGGAATCCACTCTCGTCATGCTTTATGAAACTTCTCTCAATCAACTGTAAATTATAATCTTGAATGGATCTTAATTAGATGTGACGCATATAAATTTTTCATCTACTTAAGAACTGTGAATTATCATTAACTATTCTAATTACAAAATACTCGGCTCAATTATGCTCATATTATCTTTCGATATTTTATTCCCAAAATTAAAAATAAAATATCTTTCCGTTAATATTTTTTCTTTCTAACATTGATAAGACACTGTGAAAAAATATGGCAGTGCATCACGATTAATAGCAAACTATAGGATCATAAGATCATTAAAAGAGAGCGTAATATTAACCGTAACGTACATAAAGTCTGTAGAAAACAATGATACAAGTGAAAAACAAACCAAAACTGTCAGGATAATTATTTATATTTTAATACATCATTGTTTCCTTCTCTCTCTTTTTTTATAGTTTTATAGTCTATTTTTTAGAATAATTCTTGACCATTTCTTTTTCTCTATTAATTATTACAAATGAAAAACGAATATAATTCTAATATTATTTCATAATCTTCTTCGTAATTTTTTTTTATTTTACACTTGTAGAAACGTTTCCTACAGACGCATTACGATTACATGTATATCGTAACTTGGCACAAATATTTTACTGTATTTAAATGCACAGACATCGCGTATTCTTATCTACAACTGCAGACGAATTCACTTATGAAAAAAGAAAAGAATAGCAAATATGCGGATCGAAATGAGTTTCAAGTACGAGATCTATTCCAGCAGAATGATCGCCCGAGAAATTGCTTCATATCTGTAGGTAAAATTTAATGCACATAAAATACAGGGTGTGCCATAATTATAAAACACCAACTCCATAGGAGCGTAGAGCTAAGCGAGAGAAACGAAAAAAATCCTCTTCCATTTAGTAATATCTCGCATAGATTTTTAGTAATAATCGCGGAAAGTTTGGCGTCTTGGCGCTTTGACGTTGCGCGACAGTCAGCGCAGTGATGTCAGATGCAATATATTGTGATGCTACAGCACATGCGTGAGATGACGTAGGAGCTCGCTGCTTGAGTAAAAGCCCCAGTATCGAATCTTTTTTAAGGTATTATAGCGCCCGTATTATACTATGTATTGAGAATTGCAATCGAGTAAATTAGATAATCTAAATCGTGGTTATTTTATTTGGTCCGATAGTAATTCTCAATCTATAGTCTAATATGAGTCTAATACAAATATTATGTAACAGTTACATAGTTGAGTGAAAAATTATAATGTTAATGTAACGTAACTGTTATTTAGTATCCACTGGAGTTATAATGTAACTGATATTTAGTATCCACTGAACAATATAATCTAAGATAAGGCACTCGCGCAAGAAACACGGGAAAATTACACTGGAGCCTGGAAGGCAGCTGATCGGATAGCGCGGACCCCTTCATGGACCCTGTGATGCGCTTTATTGCCATCATTGGCATAGAGCTTTACGTCATCTCACGCATGCGTTGTAACGTCGCAATATATTGCATCTGACATCACTGCAGTCAGCGCGAGCCGCGATACCGCTCAGCTTCGATGTACGTAGCTCCAGTGCTGCGAGATCGGGAGAATTTCTCACGCTACAGCGCATGCCTGAAGTGACATAGAGCTACATATATGTCAAAACCCACTGACAGTTTAAAGCGTATGACAGAGGATCCACGGAGGATCCTTTCTATTCTTCCTACAATTCCTTCATATTTTCTTTCAGACGAGGGATCTTACGTCCGTATTAGACTATAGATTGAATTACAAGTGGACCAACTTAAATAACCAAGATTTAGATTACCTGATTTATCCGATTGCAATTTTCAATCCATAATATCATCACCATATCGTTAAAATACCTTTAAATTAATACGGCACTGAGACTCCCACAGCATTTACTCAATGCGCATGCCCGGAAATTCTCCCGATCTCGCAGCACTGCACAGCTCGCCGCGGAGTGTCTATTGGCCGCGAATGCCGCGATGGGCGTGACAAACGTCAAACTTTACGTTATTATTAAAAAACTATACGAGATATTGCTAAATGGAACAGGACTTTTTCGTTCTTCTCGCTTAGCTCTACGCCCCTATGGAGTTGATGTGTTACAATTATGGGACACCCTGTATATTAAACAGGCAAATCAAGTATTTTGCATAATGTGTCATATGCAGGGTGTTTGATAGCTGATCATGCAGACGAAAGTTGGAGATAGATTGGGTGTAGCCGAGAAGAAAAGTCATGTACCATAATGTCAAATTGCCAATACTTATCGAGTTATTAATTAAAACATGTGAGCCAATGAGTGTGTAGAGAGCGGAGGGCGACCGCAGTAAGCACGTAGACATTTGATACAGGCGGAGTCAGCGAGTGACGGTAGGCGAGCGCGGCGAGGGGCAACGTAAACAACAAGAGGCGAACGCGCGCGACGAGGAGCGAGCGAGCGCGAACGACGAGGAGTGAGCGAGCGTAAGCGACAAGAGGCGAGCGAGCGCGACGAAGAGCGAGCGAGCGCGAACGACGAGGAGCGAGCGAGCTATAAGGAAAAAGTTATAAAGAAAAAGCTCTCGCTCGCTCCTCGTCGCGCGCGATCGCCTCTTGTCGCTTACGTTGCCCCTCGCCGCGCGCGCTCGCCTACCGTCACTCGCTGACTTCGCCTGTATCAAATGTCTACGTGCTTACTGCGGCCGCTCTCCGCTCCCTACGCGCTCGTTGGCTCACATGTTTTAATTAATAACTCGGTAACTATTGCCAATTTGACATTATGGTACATGACTTTTCTTCTCGGCTACACCCAATCTATCTCCATCTTTCGTCTGCATGATCAGCTATCAAACACCCTGTATGTGTAACATTGATGGCTGGTGAGAGTGATGCATTACCGAGGTTCTACTCTAGGCGTGTGACGAACGCTATGCCCTTTTAATTCCAAGTTACGTTTTTCTTATACGAAAATCATGTATAACAGTTCGAGAATCAGAAAGGCATATTTGGTATTCGGTATACGTCCAGAATACGATTCTTGGTCTATACCCTTAGTTAAACTTAACCATGCATACGCGTACAATTTCAACTTGACACAATTAATCATCAACCGAATGTAGATCTCGTAGCTGAAGATGGTAATTTTTATTTTTTCAATCGCACTAACGCGTGTGATGGCAGTGATAGTTTAAGTATGATGTCATATGCATGTCGGTATATCAGCCGGTGTGTGAGCTGAATTCTGGTATCGTTTATATATTCGATATTTTTTTCATCGATGGTTACTAAGAAACTAGTCGAATTTAAAGCATGTCGGTGGTTACAGTACACCACGGCTCGCAGTCGCGGAATCGACGTATGTGTCATTTATCTAAATTAATGCTGTCAACACACATGAGTAATCTCTGTACAGGGTGTTGCATCAACATACGCCTCAGTACGACAGTATATGCCTCTGTATTACTCCCTGAATTCGGGCAGTAATACAGGGATGTATACTATCATACTAGGGCGTATGTCGATGCAACACCCTGTACATCTAGAATATTCATTCTTTGTACTTTCGAATATTCATTCGGTATACAAATACATAGATATTACTCTGGCGCTCAAAGTATCCGGATACTTGAAATGTACGAGTAAACCGAGTTTTCAAGAAAATCCGAGTAAATAATGTCTGTCTGAATAATTACTGTCTATAATTAAATTAAAGATCTATTAAATTTCAACGACAGATACTACCGACTGTACCATATTAAGTTCATGTTGCACCGGTTTGTATTTTGTCGACATAATTAGACAGTGAACTGGCAGTAGGAATCGAGAGAATCCGTCATATGTTCCAATTAACAGTGATAATAAAATTAGACTAAATAAAATTCATAACAAGACTTATATCAACAAATTTCGTATCAACTATTCAAAACTACACTTTTCCAGTTGCAGTCTTGGAATATCTAAATATTCAAATATTAGATATTCAAATGTATAAATACCAAAATAACAGACTCGTATGTACTCGTATATACCGACAGCATTAATCTAAACGTATTGCTTTTCACACAATAATCGAATTTTTCTTCTATAACTCCATTAAAATAGTCTCTAACGAAGTGTTACATATTAAAAAGAGAGAAAATAAATTTTCTCTGGCAGCCAACGATTTAGGAAATATAAATCGGGGTGTTCCTAATAAGAAAAAATGCTTACTAGTGTACGCGTGACAGATCAGCGATGTTCGTCCGATTGTTCGCACTCTCGCTACTTCGTAAAGCATCCTGGATACTCTTTTCCAGATTCTCCTTTGGATCGTGTGATACACGTAAAACAAATTGATATAGCAGAAGAAATTGATGATTGTGACTAGGGAGGTAAGATGTCTAACTTCAGGCCTATCTTCGGTTTACAAAAGCCGCAATAACCGCCACATTTGCCGAAGATTCGCTGATTATTCTGAAAAATAAACATAATGTTAGTAACAAGATATAAATATAATGGTAATACCAAGAACTTTAAAAATTATAATACAAGTAATTATAATATAAAGAAACCAATTGACAATCTTGTTCATTTAAGTATTTTAGTTTTGGTAATAGAAGATGTTAATATAAAACATAAAAAGAAATATTTGAGAACATGTGTGTTTATGTGTATATATGTGCAGTTATAGTATGAAATCGGCAATCACTTTGTTCCTTTAAAATTTGATTTCTTACGATCTTGTTAATCACAAGAGAGGCGCTCATGGTGTCCGGGATCCATGTAACTTCTGGCGATAATTTCAAAACGGTTCCTCTCAAATCAATGCTAAAATGACCCTGTGGGCATTTAGCAAGACTATAACAATCGCCGGCCTTACCATACTCTACGCGTTTCATCCCGTGTGTCCGTGAAAATGTATAATCATTTGCTAAAAATATAGAAACGATATCCAAAATGTAAATATATAAATGTCTAAAAAACAAATTTTTAATGCAAACGAACATTCTAAATAAAGTCTTGTTAAAGTTTTGCAATAATTATTCACCTATGATGTAGAGTCTCACAGGATCTATGCGTATTCTCTTGAACATGGTTTTGCCAGAAATCGTTCCAAATTCAGACACACAGTTACAGCTATCATTTCTTTGGCCATTAAATGGGCACACATGCGGATTTTTTAACCTGATTCGTTCAAATCAAACAATTAATTTTTGCTTGTATCAGTTATTAATCAAGCTAAGTATCAATTATCTAAAACAATAAGTAGAGGAAATATTTTAGATACACGATTCAAAGGCAGATTGGGAAAATCTTTATCTTCAAGGAAATTATTTTATCTTTATTTCTTTGTCTTTAAAAAAAACTTTATTTTAATTTAATGGCGCGGATGAACTTTGATCTTTCAGTAGCACGAATAGTAGTTTTTCTATTTACTAGTGAAAAATAAAAGCCTCTTCTAACCTGACAATTAGTTATACTACTGTATGATTAAAACTTTCGCAGAATAGGCTTCAAAGAAATTAAATGAAATGAAGTTAAATAAAGTCGATTCATTGATTAGTATTTTGCTCATTCTTAATAGCTCACCTTTTATCGTAAATCTCCGCATAGTTCTCACTATCGCCAGCTGGCAATGTCAGATATTCTCGTGGCTCAGCACTCGACATACCGTGACAATAAATTGTCATATTTTTACCACCAATCAGCAACGAATATTCACCGTCTATGTTAGTTCGAAAACGTCTCTGAATTTCCAGACAGGTGATCGGTCCGCATCTTCTTTGATTGCACTTGCGTTTTCGTTGCGGCCTAAATTCTACTGGGCAATAGCTTCGCGCGACTTTATTGCCGTTTCTGTCATGGCAATAGATCCTTCGGTTCTGTCGGCCTTTGCGTCCACAAGGATGACTGCACTAGAAATTGATAAATCAAGAGGAAACGTGAGAATCGATTTATATGATTTCGGAACGGAATTCAAGAACCATGTCTTACTTTCTTCCAGGCGCCGGCGGTCCAGTAAAATTTGTCACTGCATTCACGCAATTTGCAAGTTTGCTCACTGGTCGGTTTCTGATCCATTAGGCAACCCTCAGTCGGGGTTGGGTCAATCCATCCATAAGAGTTCACATGGTGGCAAGTAACCGTGCGATGTTGTTTCCCTTCGCCACATTTGGCCGAACACTTAGAAATAATAAACATGGTTATTAGCCTTGTTGTCATCGCATAGAAAAAACAACGCCGTTAGTGTAAATGAAATTTCTATGTTGTCTAGGAACTAGACAGAAATTGTTTATTGTTGGAACAGAAAAATTTTCCTATGGAAGGGTCCGGCTTAATCAATCGCTCTCAATTATCTTGACCGAGTTTTAATGCAGTTAAATGTTTACAAATAAATGTTTGCGGTGGCGACAACAGAGATACTATAATATTCTTCGTCATTAAGTTTTCATCTGATCCCTCTTCAATTATATCAATTGAAACATTTTTTTCGTGTATGTTCGAATATACCGCGAGATTGTATAGAAAAATTACACAGAAGTTATCACGATATTTTTATGAGAATCCTATCATGTAAGAGAATGTATTCATTAAAAAATCATTGCAGTCTGGTGAAATATATTCGTGATCCAAATAAAGCTTTCGTAATAACATGTTTTCGTAATGTCTCCACAAATATTAATTAATTACCAATTATAACTGTAAGAGTTTCACATGTCTGTCGATAGTTAGATATGTCTTACGTCGATCTTAAAAAAATACGTTCTTTTGTTATATAGACGTGTATTCCCATCTCACTCAACTATGCGAATTTGTACGGACAATTTAAAACCGGACACATGCTCATGCGTAATCTGAAATGAAAATGCAGAGGTTTTCTTCTAGACACGTGTCAAATGCTAAATATGTTTTTCTGGTTCTTAAACAAAAATAATTATATGTAAAGTTCGTACAAAAAAAGTTTGGAATTAAAAGGGTGTACATATCTGGAAGCTACATATAGGAAGCGCAGAGGAAAGTGGGCAGTAAGTGAGGACCGCCGGAGGAGAAGTATTTCCCCTGACGCGGCACGATATGATGTACCCCAGTGTACTTAATGTCTTCTAGTCCAGGATGAGATGAAGGTTTGTGACGCTCTAAACTGTGTTATTTTATTAATATATCTAATAGAATATTTGTTGAACACGACGAATACCTCACAGAATGTGAGTGAAACACAGTGCTTTATCCCTTTTGAATATTATCCTAATATCAATATTGTATGCGTGATTATGTATCACAATGCAATAACGTTTTGCAAATCCGCTAAATAAAGTGCAGATTATGTACGTAATGACAATGCACACGAGGAATCCTTTCGTATCAAAATGAATACATAATCGTTATTTTATATTATTGTTATTTTTATAAACAATCGTTAAGTGCACGGCCTAATGTTAAAGAACTTAATGAAACCCAATTTTTTCGAAAGCTATCCACTTGGATCAATCAACGTTAATTGTTTCATTGTTAAAAACCTTGAAAATAAAAATCGCTTCTGTGTCCATAAAAATATATGTTATTTTACAGGATGTCTACACACACAAAAGTATTTTCCAATTTTACAAATTTACTCAGCATTATGCTTTGTAATTCCAGCACAATCTTTTACTCAATCTATCTGATTTCGGAATTCCAACAATTTTTAGCGTCTGTTTAATGAATATAGGACTTCTTTTCAACTGTTTTAATGTTGGAAATAAGAAATCCCTAATTCATCAAACTATTGCTTTTATAAGATTCATTGAATTTGTGAGATTGGAAAGCGCCTTCGTGAGCATTCTCAATTTCTCAATAATACGACGAGATTCGCATGCATGAAGGACCAATACGCTTCAAGTAACGAAAACGAAGGAACATTAAATCATCAATGCATCTCAACCGGATTTAATGATGTCCCTTATCGATAACCATTGATCAACAATCATCATGCATATACTATACTCCACTGTAGCATTTATAGCACCCATTCCTATATGATATGATTCATCAAGATTAGTTACTTATGGATATATTCTTGCTGCGATAATTGTTATTTCCTTTGCAGTACAAGTATATATACACAAACATACGTGCGTAATATAAATAATTCGGTTTTACTTTCACGTTTTGCTCTTGAAGGCTAACGAGAGTTATATGTGCGCATAATGGAACATAGGAGCAAGCCATTACGAGTGCAAGATGCTGGCATAAGAGGTAGAGGTACAAAGATACCTCCAACCAGGAGCCTTCTTGCCAGCTATAGTCGCAGGCAATACGCTGGCATGATCTCTGCGATTTTGGTTTGCGCGGTTTCGTTCTCGAGCACTGCTCATCTTTAACGGGTACTTCCGGCCCACGGCTGCCTCTTCTGATTATACATTCCACTCTTCGCGTCTGAATTCCGTAGCCGCACGATTTAGAGCACTGCAAAATATTTCGTTTCGCTGCAAGTTCGCTACATATGATGGCTCGCACTGGTCACACTCGGCGAGAAATCACATTGTCATCATCACCAATTATCGCTTCGCTGCATTTTTATTTCTTTTTCGTTTTTTGAATATTTATATTTGCCTGTCTCTTGTGAAATTCTCACGTAAATTAAATCCTGATATTGATTGTTCCTTATCCACATATCAATCGATTGGTTTTTAAATGCCAGAGAGATCAGAAAGGATTAATGAGAACAAAGGAACATTAAGTACATTAAATTGCCCATGTGTGTCAGCCAGATTTGACAACGTCCCCTATTGATAACCATCAATCAATGCGATTATTATTTTATATTATCATACGAGAGAAACGTTACTTACGGGAGTCCAATCAGACATTCTCCATCTGCGGACAATATTAGAATCAAAATTGTTCTCTCTGTTGATTTTAGGGCCACCTCTGCAAGGCTCCTTCTGACACCTTCGCATGTGTTTCGGTTGTTGACCAGTGCATTCCATGTCTCGCAAGGTCTCGCCGCGGTAACTCTGGCAGCGAACTTGACGATGCTCGAATCCATGGCCGCACTCCGAGTCGCACTAGATCATTTCAATCGTCGAAAAAAGCATTAATCATGGACATAACATAAATATTATAAAACAATTCCAATGGAAATCATATTAATATGACAAAATTATATGAGGCATAATATATTGATATATACAAATGGATCTACCTCGCTCCAATCACCGGTAACCCAAACTGAACACGGATGACGATTGCACGTGCTCCTGGCCGCCGGTTGTTGACGCGCATTGCAGTAATAATTTGGTGCAACAAGTCCCGTCTCCGAGGATATACACTTTACGACTCTACTTTTGTACCCGGTGTCGCACGCTTTCGAGCACTATATGCAAATAATAACGAGTATAACGAATATTACAGACATCACGATTGCCATTATAAACATTATGATCGTTGTTATAAATGTCACGAATATCACAAAAAAGACGTTTAACAAAATCAACGAGCTTACCTCACCGTACAATCCTGCATCCCACTTGTAACCCGATTGAAATGTGATGCCGTTGTTATCAATTTCGTTATCTTGCTGCGAAAGATCTTCACGCGATGGATTGGACGAATATATGATCGGTGGTACATTTATCTACAAAATGTATTCCCTTTATACGTTATAAGTAGCCTTTCGAACGAGAATACGAAATATGGTGTTGAAGGAAATTATATAATAAACTCGAAACTTTTTCTTACCGTATTCAATTAAGCTGGCCATCAGTCAACTTGTAAATTGAACGTATAAATAATGACAAATGTATAATGACATATGTTTTACGTCTGGCTTTTACGGCTGACACAACCACTGCAGCACAATTGCATGGGACTAGTACAGAAATTTAGTGCTTTTCGTTGCTCTATTCTCGATTTTGTTGCTTCAGCCATTTCGAAGAAAACAGTGGCTGTGCTAGCTTAACATTAAAGTTAGCACAGCCATTCCAAAAAAGAAATAAAAAACCAAAAACGAATACATTTTTTAACTACGATTTTGTTGTTGTTAATTTCTTGCTTTATTCCTGATTTTGTTGCTCCAGCCGTTTCGTCAAAAATCGGTGTCTTAAACAATAGCCGGGAACCTATAGGTGTATGCTGACTACAAGAGTAAACTACTCGAAAAAAATTTGTTGCTCGCCCAATTTCGGTCTTAATATGTTGTCTGATTTTGTTGCTCTTAAGATGTCGCAGTTTTGGATTTATTACTCACGAGCAACAAATTTTTTTTCGAAAATCGGTCAATTTCTTTAGAGTTCTGGTAGCCCCCCGAAGAGTTCTATCGATTATTGTTAAGAATCGTTGAGCTGCGATCGAAGATAAAAAAGTTGCAGTCGTTTGAAGTTTCGAAGTGCTAAATTTTCTAAGTCCCTCAGAGGTGAACAAATTTTTTTTCATAATTTCGGCGTTCCGTTAAGAGTTCTGATAGCTCCCCTAAGAGCTCTATCGATTTTCCTCAAGCATCAAAGCACTAAAGTTTAAGGTAAAAAAGTTATGGCCTTTTAAATTTACGCAATCGTGAAGGTCCTCCCCCATAACTTTATTTCATGTTTTAACCACTTTAATCAACGAAACTCTTTTTTTTATTGATAGAGAACTCTAGAACTATTTGAGAGGCAATCAGAACTCTGCTCATTTTTTTCAAATTTTGAAAAGGTGGGGTAACTTCACAGAGGTCGGCGTAGCCAAGAAACCAGCCACGCTCGCCTTCCAAATGCGCGCCGTCATCCCTTCACTGCGAGAGCATTACCGTGGTCCCAAATAAGGCACCGATGAAGGCATATGATTTGAATTTAGCTAATCCCGCGCGCGACTCTATGTCGTGCGTTTCTCAAACATTTACTCTTGTAGCCAGCACACACCTATAGGTTCTCGGTTATTGCTTAAACATGTGCCGCGAGCAACAAATTCGAAATTGAGATATCTTAAGAACAACAAGATCGGGTAACATATTTAGTCCAAAATTGGGCGAACAACAAATTTTTTTCGAATAGTTTACTCCTGTAGCCAGCATCTATAGGTTCTCGACTATTGTTTAAACATATACCGCTAGCAACAAATTTGAAACTGCAATATCTTGAGAGCAACAAAATCTGACAATATACTGAGATCGACATTGGGTGAGCAACAAATTTCTTTCGAGTAGTTTACTCCTGGAGCCAGCACACACCTAAGTTGCCGGCTATTGTTTAAATATATACCGCGAGCAACAAATTCGAAACTGTAATATCTTAAAGGCAACAAAATCAGATAACATATTAAAACCGAAATTGGACGAGCAACAAATTTTTTTCGAGTAGTTTACTCTTGTAGCTAGCACACACCTATAGGTTTCCGGCTATTGTTTAACACACCGATTTTTGGCAAAACGACTGGACAACAAAATCAGGAATAAAGCAATAAATTAGCAAAAAAATCGTAGCTTAAAAATATGTATTCGTTTTTCATTTTAATTTCTTTTTCAAGTGGCTGTGTTAATTTAAATCTTAAGCAAGCACAACTACTGTTTTTTTCGAAATGGCTGGAGCAACAAAATCAGGAATAGAGCAACAAATTAACAACAAAATCGTAGTTTAAAAATATATATTCGTTTTTGGTTTTTTATTTTTTTTTGGAATGGCTGTGCTAACTTTAATGATAAGCTAGCACAGCCACTGTTTTCTTCGAAATAGCTGGAGCAACAAAATCGAAACTAGAGCAACAAATTAGCAACAAAAAAGTACTAAATTTCTGTGCTAGTCCCATGCGATTTGCTGAAATGACTGTGCCAGCTTAATAGACATAAATGTTTTTACAAAAATACTAAATTCACCTGACTTAATTCGATATTATTCCTTTACACACATTATGTGAAGGTGTCGTATCAAAAGTTACGAGTGCAGTATGGATTTATTAAGTACAGTACCGGTAACTTACAACAGTAGGGCATGGTTTCAGCATGCAGGAAGCCGAATCATCTGGTTTTTCCGAGATGGGACATTTGTCGCTCGTCAGACCGTCAGTACTTTTGCAGATAACATTTCTTCGTAACGTTCCTTCACCGCACGTCACGGAGCACTGCACAAATAAAAAAAGTAGATTCAATCCGGCAGTTCATAACGCAAAATTGATAGTCAACCAAATCGTGGTGTGTTCTAAACCATGCATTTAAACATCTATCGAAAATGTCGGTGAGATATTTGGCTAGACTGTGGATAAAGACTAGCGATATGAATAATATGAATTGACAGATAATAAGTAGATTTATATGTAATAAATTGAGCTCAAGGTCAATTCTTACAGTATGCCAATAGTTCGGAGACCGTCAGGTTTAATCGTTTTTATCGTGGAATGACGAAGATGAAATCATTTTATAATAATTTCATCATCAGTATCGAGTTCCAATGCAAAAGATATTCTGAAGTCGGGAATGATATTGTGAAATTACTTTCATCGTTCGAAATAGACATCATTATCATCGATATGCTTTTCCGAATTAAGAAAAAAAAGAAACTTTACATAATCTCTTAAAAGATACAGATAAACTAATAAAAACTGGAATCGGTAAATTTTTATAAGTAAGGGAGACGCAAATTTAAGCAGCGAATATTGATCTCGAATGATGTACAGTACCGGACTCCAGTCGCCGGCATGCCAGTAATGACAAGGACCTGCATCGCAGACCTCCGTCGTTCCGATTGGCGTACCGCTGCAGAAGGTATGCGATACCACGCGATTCTCGACATGGCACCAGGAGTCTCTGTGCCGTTTTCCCACGCCGCATGTCACGGAACACTGCGACATTTCGTGACGCGCGTTTCACATTATTAATCCAACTCATTCGTAAATGTTATTCGATGTGCGGGCTAAGGCGGTTAAAGCGTGATGGACAAGCTTCTCGAGACCTCGTGTTTCACTTCACTTGAAACACGTGTATAATCAAGACTGAGGCTTGAAGAAATGTCAATACATCGCACATTTTACCCGCCTTTCTACGTGGCGCATATCTTACCGGACTCCATTCGCCCAAATCCCACTTGGGGCAAGCCTCTTGACCGCATATTCTCTTGAGATGCTTCTCCTGTCCAGCGCAATTCTCATCTCGCACCTGTCGTTCGTTCGAATCAACACATTTCGCGCTTCTCGACTGAACACCGCCGCCGCATGAGACACTGCAGGAATTCCACTCGTTGTAACTCCAATGAGCGTCATCACATGGACCCATACAAGATTGATGTTCGTTTGGTTTCTCGATGTGTAAGCACACGTGTGCTGATATCGGCTGTGGAGGATGTGTCGAATCCAGTAAGACTTGAACGCATCGCGAAGTTATGGTTTGAACGCCTGGGCCACAGTGATTCGAGCACTCGGACACAGAAGTCGTCTGCCACCTAAAACATATCAATTCTTACAATATAATAATACAATATAATAATTCAGTCGACAAGAAGTTCGGAAATATCATGTCTTACGACTAACGAATAACAGTTCATCGAATCAATTAATAGATCTAGTAAATAAAATTCTCAGGTACGAACGTAACACCACCAAATGCGTAATCTACTTACTGCAGTGTGCAATGTGCATTGCACACTTGACTCTCCTCTTGTGGCCTGTTCTCGGCTCTGCAATAATCGTCGGGCACCACGTCCTTGTGCTCGGTGCTTCTGCATTCGGCTTTACGATATTTCATACCCTGGCACATTCGATTACAAGTCGACCAGTCGCTGAGCAACCACATGAAGCTGTTGAGAATATTCTTCGGTACGGTGTATTCATATGTAATTTGCGGCGGATACACATTCCCTACGGATAATATCTGGAACATTGTATATGTTTATTTGAACAGACATACATTGCCGATCTTTCTTCGGTCCCTGAGTAACGTCATTGCAATCGAATAACGTTAAATTAGATATTAATATATATATATATATATTATAAATATACTATATTATATAATATATAATATACTGTAATATACAAAATATAAGATACTATAAATTAAATAATGAGTAGACCTGCCTCCAGAATTAGATCGATAGTGATTGGCCGAGAACTGTTGAGTCGCTCGACGACCGATTCTGGTCCGCTGTATTCGATGGTGACGCCCGGATATACGATCACCTTGCGATGCATCACCATAAAATTGCCGTTCAGAATATATTCGCCGTCTTCTCCGATCCGCAATGCTATAGGACAATACATCGTGACACGTTTTCAGTTAACATCCAGTCAAAACTTTCGAGGAAATTAATTCAAATCGTGATGGGTTAAGAATGTTCCCAAAGAGACAGGAGTGCATAAATAGGAGGATTGACTGTTTTATCATCATAAGATATCATGCGAGTAATTTTCAAACGTTGAATTGTTATCACAGTAGGAAACAGAAACCGAATTTCGACGAGAGTTTTACCGAGGTAATTGCTATCATTGTGCGAACTCAGCCAGCCGCGTTGCCTAATGTCGATATAACTACTACCGGCAGGAATCTTAGCCACTCTCGTATAACCGTACACGCTGGCATTGTAGGAGCCGGTGATTCTCTGACAGGTAGAGTTATCTCCTCGGCAGACTCCGCAGGTATCGAGCTCAACAGTCGAATTCAAAACGTGATCGCACCCAGCTGGTTTGCATTGGCCGTTAACGCATATATGAAAAGTATCGGGTCCGCAGGGTGTTCCGTCGATCACTTTGTCGCGTAACATATAATATTGATTACTTTCCACTTGGCAGTATAATTTGCAACGATCTTGCGATAGTACTGCAAATGAAAGATTCATGTTAAGGTCCTTTTTCTTATTGTTCGTGGTACTCCTCGTAAATTCAAAGATAAATTAAAAGTCGATCTTACTTGTTCAAAGTAAGTTTAAACGAATGTAAAATAACTGAGAATAAATAAATGAGAGTAAATCAAAATAAAAGTAATCGCTTACTTCTTGTATATTTTGCATGCCATTTGACATCCCTAGCGAGATTCTGAATGTTGAAGTTATTGTTGTCGAATTTCGAGCACTGTTGCTCTCTGCGAAAAGAGAAGAAGGAACGACTGCTAATATTGAAAGTGTATGAGTGAATCATCGAGATCAATAATGCTTTACGGGGTTAAAATGCGATTATGCACTACACGCTCCAATTTGCATCGCTTCATTGATCTATTTCCAGCGTTAATTGATACAACATTAATTGACACAGTCATGCTCCTGTTGATTCATTTAGAAAGTTATTCTAAGAACTGAAACAGACGAGTTTCTTTTCAAGAAGAAATATAAAATAGATATAAGAAATCTCGCGCATAATGCTTATTAATTATAAATAAATTTTATTAAGTTCCTATTTTTCACACTCCCGAGAAATTTCATTGACGATGATTCTCGCGCGCAGCGTGTTAACATGTACCTGAAATCCGGGCTACCAGGTGGGCACTCTCTGATACCGCAGCTACGATATTTGACACGTTCACCAATGCAGTAGTTGCCACCATTCTTCGGTGCCGGATTGTCGCACTCGCGGTACTTTCTTTTGACACCGCCACCGCAGGTGCGCGAACATTCGCCATATCTTCCCCATTCGCCCCATTGGCCGTCCACCGGCTTAAGATTTCTGCGCGAAACGCACTCGCCGTGATGACACCACTTGTCGACGCCGCACGAGGTACCGTCCGCCCATGGCATATGCTGGGTGTGACATTGCTGATGATGATCCCACAATGGCGCGGTGCACCACAATGTCCTACACACTGCCTGGCCGGTAACCAACCAAGCCCTCAGTTTACCTCAATTCTTAAGCAACAGTTTATTTTAATGCATATATTACAGAGTTATTGATATCGGTAAGATTTCGAGGTTTAAATTGAACTATGCAATTTTGTTATTGTTTGCATATAAAAGAATTAAACTCGTTACTGTTATGGTAGCTTATAGATTAAATAGATAATAATATGAATTAAATATAGTAACAATAATACATACACAGACACACAATAATAATAATATGAAAATAATATTGATGATGATAATGATGATGATGATTATAACTTTAATGCACGGTATATAGGATACAAAGCGTCTGATTACTCGAGTGTAGTAGATGTATTTGACTTTGTCGTGAAGCGACCAAACGACGAAGCAACAGCTTCGCAGCTGATACTACTGCCTTGACTAATGAAAAATGTAGTTAAGATGACAACTATGTTTATTCGACAGTATGGTATGTGATGTCGCAAACAATGAAGTCAATGCACACAACGACGCTGACACGGTATGAATTTACATAAATATAAGTAACTCATCGAACGAACTGACTATAGTTCACTCGACACAGTATGTGACTTCATACAACAGAACGGAAGGTTGTGAAAAAGGATTTCAAGGAGTAGGAAAGAATTGTAGTGCTTAACTGCAGAGAATGATAATGTATTAAGCTGCGTATCCATCGACTCTCATTGCGCAAGAATATCAGAATTAACTAGAATGGTCAAAGGTGCCAATTAAATGAAAATGAAACAAGCGAAAGTAGAGCGTGTCCTTTTGAGACAAATCGAGAACTAGTTTCAATCAGATCCATGAAAAGAAGAACGTTTTCGACTTACCATCACTCACCATGTGAGGGCAGATTCTGGATCCTTGCCCGAAGACGAGCTCGCACTGCTTGTTCTCCGAATAATCTTCGCCGGGTAAGCGACCGTTCTGCCGTTCCATCATCTTGCTGGGCTCGTCTAATAGGCAGTTAGCGTAGCCAGCTCTGAAAACAAGACAAGGCATGAATTAAAGAATTTCACGTGGTTCTTGCGAAACACGTCATTAGACAGTTTTGCATATCGCACAAATATCCCTTTGGGATCGCATTTCTCGTAACAACGAGATGCGTTTACGAGCGCACAAGAATCGTTTAAAATCCCGTTCAACCGGATTTTTACACGACGACTCGTCTTCCACCTATTGCCCTTTCGAAAGATATATTATAGAAAATATTCACAGCATCCCACGTTTCTCTCGAATTAGATTTGCTCGGAGTTGGCAGAACTTGAAAGTCCTGTCGGATTGTGAAGGGATTATTAAACGAACCATAAGTTATCATCGCCGCGGACAAGTTTCGAGAAATAGTCTATTCAGAGATCTCATCGCGAGCGCACGCTATACAAAACAGAGGCAGATTAACGCGACACAGACAAAGCCTGCCATCGCGCAGCGTGTTGCGGTATCGTATCAGGTCGCGGTCGTGGGTCAATTCGTGATGATCTTTTCCCAGAGTACCCCGGCGCGCCGTTCATAACCGAGTCGTTTGCCGACTAATGATTGACTCACTCGAGAAATTCGGTGACATAGTGCCGGGAGCATTTGGACCATTCCCAAGGAAAGGTGTTATCGTCCAGCATGCGGGACATGACGTTGTGCACGCCCGAACGGTTCCTGAAGCCCGCACACTTGGGATCGTCGTCGTGCGGCATGTTGAGCCTGAAAATCATTTCAAGTATTTCTCTTTGAAGCGAAGCATAACACGTTTACGATCATTGTAACATATGTAATATGCTACTATAATAATATGCTACTATAAAATAGCATACTATTCGAATATTAGAATATAACAGTGATATGTTATTGTATTGATAATACACTTACACATGACCGATCTCATGCGCGATGGTAAACGCCGCGGCCAATCCATTGTCCTGTACAATAGCACACGAAGATCCTGGCGAGCACATTCTACCAAGTTCGGCTAATCCCAGAGTGTCACAACGCTTCTGACTCGGATTGTGACATAAATTTTCTCTAGAAATTTACTTTGTATTCAGAAATGTACATGCAGTCCGTCTCGGTATCTCAAATTTTAACTTCTTAAAACCAAAATTTTCTCGTCAATTATTTTATCTAAACATCCTTATGGTAAATGATAAAATTGTAAAATTTTTTAACGCTGGCAAATAACTTTAATACAATTATTTATACATAATCAATCCAACATTATATTTACTACATATCGTTAATTAATATTATTTGATCTATATGCAGTTGTTATGTAATACGTACGTATCGACGATAATGTTGCAACACATTTCTCTTTGATGTATTTTGAAATGAAAATCACGAAAGAGAACCAAAGCTTGCCATTGAGTATATGTCTATAATTTGAAGAACTTGAGTTTGTCTAATATAATATGTCTGATACAAACCTGGTCAAAAGAAGCGCAGCGTCGTGGTGTTCTGGGGAGGGCTCATCCGGATTGTTGTGCTTTTGCCAGTTGCAAAATCGCTTCAACATCTCGGCTGCCGCGATTCCATCGCTGCCAGTATGCTTCTCACCGAATATCACGTCGGTCTTGATAATTTTCATCACGGCTATGCTCACTGGATTGCCGATCGATTGATCTTTATAAATCCGTGAGACCTATCCTTCCAAGGAGCAGACATATTTGACAATGTATTTGAGACAATTTATTTGATTATCGTAATATCGCAACGAGTTCATCTACAGTTGCAACATATTTAATATTCAGATTCAACATATTTAATATTCATATAAATTGAGTAAATTGGTGCATGACTTCGTGCTTTTTACCCAAGTGAAAGAAGTTATATCTGAATAAGTAAAAAGAGGTAATTTAATCAAGTTCAAATATATACGACGTTAAAAATTAAAATTGAGAAGATTAAAACTAAAAATAAAAAAAACGAGTGATCATCTCGTTGCTGTCAAAAATCGTCTTTAAGATAACTGTAGCTAAGATTATTGACTGAAAGAACACTTATTGTATTTAGGGTACGCTGCATATCGAAAGCATCTATTTCAATTCTGTTCGCTCTTTCATTCATAAAAGATTCATGAATCTCTTAAAGCCGATTGATAGTTGGCAGTTAGGAAACGAGATTGAATCATCGAATGAATGACAGGCGTGGATTCGTGAAAGCGAACTCTCCGCAGGATGTTGCCCTCCGGTAAGGTGTGGCCTTCGCGTGGGATATATAACTGGCGTAGTGCACTCGATAATGACCACCATGACGAAGCTAACTACCGAATTACATCGAATCAATGCTTGCCATCCCGTTTCTCTTCTTCTGTCTTGACTTGAGAGAGAGAGAGAGAGAGAGAGAGAGAGAGAGAGAGAGAGAGAGAGGAGAGGGAGAGGGAGAGAGAGGGAGAGGGAGAGGGAGAGGGAGAGGGAGAGGGAGAGGGAGAGAGAGAGAGAGAGAGAGAGAGAGAGAGAGTCATATATTTTTTGAAAATCATTATTATATTAAGTCTTCTTAATGCGCGTGCGTGCACGTGAAATGAGATATAAAATATAATATACTACCTGACACGACATGTTTTCCTCACATATTAAAATATCAGCAGTATTATAACGCTAGTGCGTTTCCTTTGATATCACAGCGATCAAAATTTTATAGCAAAAGTTAAAAAATGAATAACGGCGAAGAGGAACGTAAGAACCGTACTGATTTGATTTCATAACAACGAAATATCCTTCTATACGAAATAGATATTCGGATTCACAGTTAGAATTTTCAATTTCCACTTTCTTACTAATCTACGAATATTCGAAGGTAGTATGTACCCACCGTGCTCATCAGGACCAAGATATAACTGATTAAGCCGCTACCGTGGTAATCTACCATTTTCTTGTCAGCTACCACCATGATCTCGATGAAATATTCACGAGGCAACGCTCGTCGTGGCCTCCACGTGACGAAAGGATCCGACTCCATCTCCGAGTCTTGAGAGTACTCTCCGTTCTGATAGCTGTGCTCGCGTTCCATACTGTAGTATCTAGAATTGCATCAAACGTATGTTACGAACTTGATGCATACATACATTCGACTGATGCACTCAGTGATTTTGTCTTCTTTCCTTATGCTCGGTCATATGTAGAATCAGTCGATACCTATTGTCGCGGTTTTCCTTTTCAAAGAAAGCCCGACGATACTCGCTCTGCTCCGTAAACCGTTCGTACTCCTCCTCTTCCTCCTTGGAATGCCCCAGCGACGCGGTTTTCCGCGTCAATGATCTGCGTTCTCGCGGACGCTCCCCGACGTAAATCTTATGAGCGGAACTGTCGTCCGTCAGCGGTGAAGGAGTGTCGTCTAAGTCATAATCTATTGACATCGTAATGCTAATCACGATTATGCAAGAAGAATCATACATTCACGAGTTAATTCTTGAAATAGGAGAAATTATCACTCTAATGTGTAACGCTGACAATCCTGTTTCGCTAAGTAAATTATTACGTTGAACGCGTTCACGCGCATTTTAATACGTTTTACAGATCACCGTTATTGCTTACGGTCGACTGGAACGCCAGAAGGGAGACATTGCGGAATTTTCCGTCGCATCGGCCAATTCGTCACAGCACGCACGTCGGTTTTTCACGCGATTCTTATTTTTCGCTTGAAATCCTGTCGTACACATACGAGGGATATCGTGCCGGACGAACGTTGCAAACAACATGCACTTTCACCCGATCGAAAATACAGTATACATCGCGTAACTTTCTAGCGATTATCGAATATCTTACGTCTCGTCTCGGCGAAAAGAACGCATTCATAATTTGCATGCTCGAAGGTGCGACGTAAAAAATGATGAAGTGTATTATTTGCATCATGCCTTCTCATGCCGCTATCGTCTCTTCGATGTCCTCGTTATATCTCATTACCGCATCGCAGTCATCGTTTAAATGTTACATATAAGTGAAAGTAAAATCACTAGAAGGAGGTAGCGGGTATTACACGTAATGGTCTCCAGAGACCATTCATATTTCTAATATTCAACGTCGCGATAACGACAGCGAATGAACGAACTTTCGAGTCGCGTGACTTCGTAGAGATCGTTTTAAGCGGCGACCCTTTCGTCCATTCTTTTCCTATTATGGACTCGACCGAGTATCCATAATAATTCGCTTTTTTTTCGCGAGGGACGAGAAAGAAAGAGAGAAACAGGAAGGGCTCGGGTCAACTTGGAAGTTAATCAGGGTACCCGTTAGCTCGCGACGCGATCGCATCGAGTCAATGACTTTTGCATATCGGAGATTCGATCGTTCGCGTCGAAGATTGCTAGAGGCTCCGCAGACTTAACGAGAACCACGTAATCGGCGTGTGCTGTCTGTCTGCTTTTCCCGGCACGCCTCGTCGCTACTACATTCCCTTGCTTCGATACTTCGAGATCTTAATAATAAAAGGGACGTATTATCTTTATATATTATCTTTAACTAAATCCTTAGGATCTTAGTTCTTAGTCAATATCAAGAAAAAGAAGAAAATGAAGATGTACTGATTTAATATTTTGAACTCTTCTATTTATGTAATCTCAATATTTTGAACTCTCGTTGAGCTTTACATCTTATCCTTTTAAATTTTACTGTGAAAAACTATCACCGTGCTTAACAAATAATGTGTTCAGAAATAGCATGCTTATTCAGTGAACTTATTTTGTAGCTTGTAATAATAATGTCGTTATCGTTACATTCTCGTTGCGTATCATCTCTGCCATGTATTATACCTGCGCAACAAGTAACGATAACGACGTTCCCGTTAAACGTCCCGTTAAACAAAATTTATCTAAGACGGAATAATTGTTTCATTTCGGCATCATGTTACACATAGAGGCAAGAGTTCATACTCGTTGCTTACGCGTGAAAATTTACACGACTCAGTTTTATCGTAATTAATTAATCGACACGCAATTGATATCGTATCGTTGCAGGCAGGCGGACTCGACGAAGTCGACGTTATTTTTAAAAGATGACACTCGCACGACCCGAAGTGATACACAAGGAGATGAGAATATTTGGACAGTGTACCATCGACGACGTCGTTTTGTAGGCAGAGAGTACCGCGCGTCGCCAAGCTGTCTCGATGGTACATCAGAATTCGCCCGAGGAAAAACGTAAATGTCTGAACCTGTTTCGGTAGAGGTGGTCGTGCGAGTATACGCTGAATGAAAAAAGACACGATACCTTCTCTCCTCTTCGAGTCCTCGCGTACGTGAACACGCGTTTCACGTCGAGATGTGTGTTAAATCCGTGCAATTGTGGTCTCACATATAAACATGGCAGAAAGAGAGGGAGAGAGAATATTTTTTATTTATTCAATAATTATATGAAAACTTTCAAATGTTTAATCAGTAAGGAATATTTGGGACAAATATGAGTTACGCAGGATGACAGTTGCGAATTTTACTGATGAATGGATAATAAAATCGCATTATTATCTTGCGTAGCCTTTCTTAATGTTTCTTAGTGATTTATTCATTTAGGTCATTTCTGAATTTATTATAGCGTTGTTTATAGCGATTGCATCGATAAGTCTATATGCGCGAAATTGATAATGTCGTATCGATCCTTCCTATGTGGCGAGAATATCGCGAATGAAATTAGTTATAAACATACGAGTGAAAGTTGACTTACCTATCACGCCGCAGTTACGATTCTTGACTTCGTCCTCGGTAATATCGAAGCCGGTATCTTCGTTGAAGCTGGACGACACCGTTGAGGGTACCCGATAAATCGCGTGCTGCAATGAAGATCCAAGGGAGTCCTTGTCATCTTCGCGCCAATGTTCCGTAGGTTTGATAAAGTAGCTTCCCATAGACGTCTTCATGTGACCGGTCTAAAAATCGCAACAAAAATTCGAATCATAATGCATCACATCGATTGTCGCAATCACCAGATAATCTTCCAGATAAATAATCTTCATAACGGAATTTTCGATTCTAAAATCCTACATATCAAAATATCAATTCCGTCGACTAAATTCTATCCGAGTCTACTTGCGAAACGAAATATAAGAATACAATTCGTTCTATATTTGCTTCCCCGAAGTTTCCAGTTTCTCGTTAAACGCACTTTATTTTTACCTGTCGATCGAAGATTACAGGTACTTCTCATCGAGTTGTCTCATCGAGAAACAAATTGATTCCGAATCGATCCAGACAATCTTCAAGTGAACAGAACGTCCGCTGATTTCGCAAAATATTTTTCCACAGTATAGTTTTCGCTAGTAATATCTCTGATCTCCAGCATGGTCTATTTGGGGATCAGTTGTGTCTCGATATTGCACTATGTAAGAACTTCCTCGATCCGAGCATATTATGCGGTAGAAGCAGCCGAGAGTATGCTTTCGCTAAATATAATCCGCCTACGTGCATTCCACATGTAAGCGAATCCGGGGGAGAGACGCGCATGGATGTGCACGAGTATAGACGAATCAAAAGAGAATTTGCTATGTCGAAATACAATGCAAATCTTCCTCAAGAGGAGCAATTCGAATCTGAGACGCTTCGCCATTGAGATATCGCATGTTGAACGTTAAAACATATAGACAACGATGTCGCGTCAGATTTTCACAAATGACAAACTAATATAAAATGACTAATAATTAAAAGATACAAAATTAAATTGATTCAAAACCCAAATTGAATTAATACAAAATTCAAATAACTCGAAATAGCATTAGAAACACAAAAGAAAATGATATTGTATCGAATATTCTACGACGAGGAAGCGACAATTAATTCGATATGAAGAATCCGCGAGTTAAAAGAAAGTACGGTCGATCCGGGACATCTTGCACGCGCCAATAAAAAGTCGAAAGTTAACACACACATCTGCGACGTCGTTATTTCTCTTTTTGTCCGACGTGTATATCGAAGGATTAACAAAATTCAATCTAGGAGACCCATAATTAAACTCGTCTTTGATGAATAGTCACAGAACGATGATCGCAAAATAGTGGAAAAGGGAGAGAACTTTCTTCTAATTACAGCAAGCTGTCATCAGGATCGCGGATCGTCCACCATGACTGCTCTAATGACACACCACACTACATTATGGGAGTGTGGTGAAACTGGCTTAGAAGCAATAAAGCGACATTTATCGATTATCAACACCGTTATGGCACGATCCGCGTTTTCCTCCGTAATTTCCATATTCCGCGAGCGAGCAACGTACATTCGTTCGTTCACTTCTAATTTGCGACAAATTGAACCTAAAAGTGGTTTGCACCGTTCCGCCTGTTAAACACGTGTCAACACACGTGCGTAACTATCGCTTTCATAATCGATCCCGTGTTACGTATTGTAAAAAGTTGCGCGTAACACACCTGTGAGAAATGCCTGTATTTAGAAACGAATTTTATTTCACACGAACGAAAATTAACTACCAATTTTTATTTTTTAAACATCGTTTTATTATTATTTTCGATTATTCTGTAATTATAGACTTTCAGTATAACTTACGATAATACTTACAAAGAGATGGAAAGACATGTAACATCAATAATTGAATGAGTCATATTTCATTCGAAAGGGGGGGTTGAGTACATAAAGAGGGTTCGCGTGCATGGGCCTTTATTTGCAAGAAATTTTCAATTAAAAAAATAGCTATACCAGAACTGTAGTAACTTGAAACCACTAACCGCGAAGCGCGGTAGCCACAAAGACTAAGGCACGCGCCTTATTTTGTTCTCTACGTCCGAGGAGGGATTCGAGTCCTCGTAGGGGACAACCTTTTTTTATTTATAATATTATATATTACTATATTTTATATTTCTAATATTTTTATTATTTTTATTACTATATTTTATATTTCTAATATTTTTATTATTTTTTATAAGACAAAAATATAATGCACACATATACAATAATATCTGTCTTATTATATAAAAAATAACAAGAATAAACGTTTTAATTATTTATTATATATTTTTTAAAATTTAGTTTTAATTATTATTATGAATTTTAAAATTGAACCAGCCTTGGACGTAGACAACAAGAGCGCGTGCTTTAGTCTTCGTGGCTATCGTGTTTCACATTTGTTGTTGATTCCAAGTTACTGTACTTGACATGTAGCTATTTTTTAATTGCAAATTTCTCGCAAACGAAGACTCATGTACACAATCTCTTTTAGGATTTTTATGTACTCAACCCCCCCTCCATTCGAATAAAATATGACTTATTCAATTATCGATTTTACATGTCTTGCTATCTCCTTGTTAGTATAGCATTTTGCCAGTTGAAATAATTTAAGAAATAATTTACGAGATTTATCCAATACGTTTTTATTAGTGGCGTTTCTATTTTTTCAAGAAATAATTAATCTATTGAGCGCAGATCGGGAACTGCTAATTCAAAGTAAACCTTCATCGAACAAGCGAGATTACGTTGAAATTATTTAGAAAAACGGCATTTCACGTAATTATTATAACAGAATATTGGACGTTGTGCATCTATATAAAATAACAAGCGTTCCCGTTTATTTTCGATCACGACGACGTGTACAGATATTATTAGAAGAGTGCTATTTACAAATAAAGCACCGTCCGTTGTTATCCTATCTGCTAACACCGATATGTTAACGTTTTGATTAAACATTCTAACGGAGATAGACTCTCTCATTTATTTGTTTTTTCGGAATGCGGAGATTCTCGACACTTGTACATACACGTGTGCCGCGAAGGGAGCGAGTAGCACCGATGATGATCTACTTAAAATACTTACAGCCTGAATAGCTTTTTTCATATAGTTACGTTAAATTTACAATTATTTAATTATACTTTTTTACATACTACTAAATAATCATCCCATTAAGAATTGGCACGAAAAATTTATCCTATTTAATAATTCGTAGAAAAAATCAGTGATTTGAATCCAAAAAGCTTTATTCGAGTAACACCTTTTTTAAATCCGATTTTTAGCGGTAAATATACTGGGTTAATGAAGAAAGTTGATAGGAAAAAAAGAAAATAAAACGACTTTTCGTTAGATGTTCACAAAAAAAAATACTAAACCCACATTGCATATTTTATTTATAAAAAATGCTAATACATCGAAATCAAATGGGTATTTCAAGTTTTATTTGACAAATATGACAAACTTCTATCGACAAACTTCGCCTCAACGTTTGGGTCAAAATCCCATCAACGATATGCTCCGATGCTAAAAAGTAAATATTTAGTATAATGTGCACTCTCTCTCACTACTTAACTTCTTTGTACCACGTGTATATTGTGCATGTGCGTATGCGCGTACGTATGTATGTATGTGTGTGAAGAGTTTTCCTTTCTGCACAATGAAAATTCACCATCTACGGTCTCCATCTACGGTCCAAGTTCTCCATTTCTTTTTCCTCTCCTGATGTGCATTTCTCTCGTCTTCTTTTAGTAGCCAGCCGGCAAATGTTGCACAAAAAACCCACAGACGTATTCGACTTGAGATCTTTCGTTCAACGTCAAATCACATAGTTCACTATAGTCGGTATCGATGAGGAACTCACTCGTCATATAATGCAAATTGAAAAATTCGTCGGTTCGGTATCGATGTGTTTCCCGCCGGGTCAGGTGTGCGAATAGCGAAGAATCGAAGCTCGACGTGACTCGCCACGGCTGCGAGAGATCGGACTTCGTAGCGGCTCGTCCGATTCGTTCGCAATTTGCATTCTCGCAGGCATGCACCTTCCCCCGCGTGGCTATTCCGCGGCACAAAGAACGACTTGACGGATACCAAGAACTCTCTCGGCGTCTTGGAACGTCGTTTTTCTCTATCCGTTTTTTTCCTCGCCTATATACGCCGTTATCTCGCTTTCCTATCCGCCCTTCTCCTCGTTCCCAGACACCCACCTACCGTTTCGCCTGTTCGATCAACGAATAAGCCGCCTGTCCTGCAGTGACCATCTTCCGAGGGGAAGCACGTCGATCTCTCTCGACGAATCAGAGTTTTATTTCAGAGCTAAAATTTCATACTCAAGGGAAATGACCTCCGTCGACGTCGTATGAATTCACTATTTCGGGAAGGATAATTTAAGATTATTCAAAATAGCGTTTTGTCCGTTCGGGACAAGGTTCACCCAATTTAAATTTTATCGATAAGCACAAAGAAGAAGAATAAAGTTCGCAAGGATATACGGTCCATTGCGACAGTCCAACGTGGCCGAGAATCATGGCGAGAAACATAACAAAGACAATGCCAATGATTTTAAGGTACGTTATACGAAGAAACGGCATCGGATCGCGAACAAGTGTGCTTGCTTGCGATTCTGTTGAGAAAAACGTAAAAATGCTGACCGCATCGTTCGCGGCTGTGACCATAGCGCATTCATTTGAGTATTCGCGATTAGGCTCGCTAGTCGCATCACCGCGAGTCGCTATTTAGGCTCGCGCGCTCCCGTAAATTTGTGGTTTACGCTAAAATGTAAAAAAAAAGCAAGCATCGCCATGTGACGGGGAAATGCTGGGGTAGAAATGATGGTGTTCTGGTATCGTCGCGAGAGATGCAACGATACCGAGAAAAAAGTCTCAAACGATGTTAGTGAGAAAAGTGCGCGCGGACGTCGCGAGAGTGCATACGTTTCGCATGTAGAGGGCTAGTCGTTAAATTAAAGGCGGCCAGAGTGGGCCGAGACCCATGAGCGAGTATTATCTTTATTTAGGTTCCGCTTAATACGCAGAACATAATACATCATAATAAAAGGTGACTGGGCTGTAACGTACACTCGTGCGGCTTGCATTAAGAGGGACAACGACGACGGGCCACGCAGTAATTCGATGCAGAAACGGGTCTGAGCGCTGTGAGTTTGAGGACTCGAAACAAACAGTTTCTTTTCTCTGTAGAGTGTAGATCGATGCAAAAAGAAAAATTGAGGAAAGGTAATAGTAAGATTTCGTTTAGTTAAAATTTTGCTTGTTGTTTTTAGAAGCATGTATATTTAGATAAATAAATAAATATATATATATATCTGTATATATATATATACACATATATATATATATATATCGATTTCATTACTACGACTCTCTATGAATAATGTGAGCGAGGATTGGATGAAACAGAAACCAACGGGCATTTTCTCTAAGGATTTCAACAAAAAAAGTACCGCTATTCACTGTTTCGTTATTTTCGAAAGCGCTAATCGATAGCAAGAGAGAAACAAGCGAGACGAATTTGAATTTAATGTCTGCTCGCGGCTTCTCTCTTTTCCTCTCTCTCTCTCTCTCTCTCTCTCTCTCTCCCTCTCTCTCCCTCTCTCTCTCTCTCTCTCTCTCTCTCTCTCACATACACTCTCTCTCTTTCTCTTTTTCTTTCTCTCTCTTCGAGGCGCGTATCCTTGTTAAAGCGGCCGTACGAAATGTCATCGCGGACGAAATATTTCTAATTAATTCCGCCTATTATATTACACATTTCTGCCAAGGTCGTCAAGTCGAATTGAAACTGGTCGTACCGGCTCGAGTCGAACTCACAGATTTGGCGTTCCTTGATGCCATGTCGCGTCGTGTCGCGCTGCGTTGTGCTGTGCTATGTTGTGCCAAATAAAAACAATATCCAGTTTCTCTTTGTCGGAAAGCTGCGTTCGGAAAAATTTACTGCATCCAGCTGAAGTGGAGAGACGAAGCTGAAAACGTTCGGGGTCGAATAATTTCGGCGTCACAACACTCGCGATTTACGCTTACGATTGGCCAAAAATACGCGCTCTTTGTTACGCGACCTATATGAAAACGCTCACAAAACAGAAGACTCTGAATGAGACTTTAATCCGCAAAGTCCCGCGGACATGTGACATTAAAAATCGAGAGGACGCGGTAAACAATGACTCGCCTCGGAAGATATTTCGCGTTGAGGAGAAGTGACCTTTAAATTAAGATTAAGTCAAATCGCAAGAAGATATTTCGAAAGCCTGAGTCCTTGTTTCATCGCGATAATTTTGCCTGGAAATATTTCGAGTCATCAATCCATGTCTGTAAAAAACTTGATGTCTAGACAGTAAATTTGGTGCACGCCCGTGTATGTGTCCATCCGCTTCTATGTGTACGAACACCCGAAGCGATGTGTATATACAACGAAATGGTCCGAGGAGTGAATCACTGCTTAGGATATCCCGTATTCTCTTGCTTTCGTTTTCTTCTTTTTTCTCATCTTTTAGACAACGCTAGTTTACGCATCAGCTGGGAATTCCGTGGCGAAGTTCCACGTTCTTGTCTAGCCTGTATCGTAATTTGTCGAGATTACACACGAGATGTATATTTTCGATCGGTCAAATCTGAAATTGCCGGATAATTATTCTTCTTTCCTAAAACCTCTGTTCTGCTTCATCCGTCGATCAAATGACAATTAAGATTACACAAAATTAACTGCGAGTGTTGTATAAACGTACAATCAACAGAGATCAAGACACTTGCAGCGGTAACAGGTAAAATTCCAAGCGGAAAATCGCTGGAGATATTAATCTTCACGCCATCAACTTACGACGTCATCGCCTTGTCCTGAGGCAAAGTACAGAAATAATAAACTAGAGCAGCGCATATATATCGCGCAACCAATTGAATTGCATTTCTCCGTTATTATTGATCATCAGTACAGAGATCATGATCATCCATACCGGTTAGTGAATAACCAGCAATTTTGAACAAACTTTCTCATGGTCGTCAATGTGAAAAATGCCAAAAAATGCGGGTGCCAAACAAGAGGAGTGATAGATATTGGAAAATAATGAGCGATGAAGGAGAACGGATCAAGTGACGTATCCGGACACAAACGAGCGAACGCGAGATAGCGACCGAGATTCACGTGGTGTCTCGCGCAGGGTCGAATAATTAGGTCGAGTGGCTTGACTCGCTATCGAAAGTAGAAACATCAAGGCTCGACTCTCTGGGTGCGCTTCTTCCTATTTCTACGCTTGAACAGACGACCGATTGACTACTTTAACCTTGCCATGACTAAATTAAAGCATGACCCAATCGTATGCGTAGAACGCGTTGAACAAGCGAAAAATAAGTTCTATTCCATTCTCCACGCCCGTCGCCTTTTCCAACGGACGCTTTCGAAGAAGCGCGCGCTATCTCTACGAGTGTCAAGAAAGGAAAATCTTGGCCAACGGGCCTCAAGCAAAATCCCTCTCTGTGACTCGAGTGTGCACACGTATGTGTATGTGCGTATGCGTGTGGTGAGCAAAAGGAGCTTTTTTATTCTCCACGATAAACCATTCGTTTCGAAGCTTCCGCGACATTTCGCAAAGCAGAATTCCGACTCGCGAGAACCGAACACCGAGGCGGCGAACGCGTCTACCGGGTGTCCGGCGAGAGAAGAGAAGACGCGTGATATACGAGCGGTCCGCGCAATAAATTCGCTTTAGAGCGTCGCAAATAATTCTCGCTCTCTAACACCTCTTGATATAAAATCCAATCGCGCCGCGCGCGCGCGCTGCACGACGCGACGGTCCGGTGTTTCCCATGGAGCGTCGAGACGGTGCTGTCGCGGTCGACTGCGCGGCGCGTTTCCCCGCTGAATGGCTCGCGAGGACTTGTACGATTCACGAAGGTGTTTCTGATGTACGATCGAGTCGTCGTGTTTTTTCCTTCCTTCCTTTTTCTCTCTTCAGCATCGAGCAGCTCTCGAGTGAATTCATGCCGCGAGATGTGGTAATTCGCACAATCGATCGTGCGTGCGCGACGTGTACAGTCCAACAAATCACGCGGAACGTGTATCGTTTCGCACGACAACGACGGTGTGTGCACGCGGTGCGAGCACGAGACCAATGATTGCTCTACAACGGAGGGCTACGCTACACGAACCTTGAACCTATTTTTTGCGTGCAACTATTTTCAGACATCCTCGCGTGTAACGTACAACAACGTCTCGCCCAACCGTCACACTCGCACCGCGCCGTCGTGCATGTTACTCGAGTTTACTTTTTACCCGGCCTCATTGAGCGAAGGAAATCTCAGCCGGCTAAGATGTCTTCGAGGAAGAAAAAATGTGTAATCGAAACCCCTTTTTCGAGTTGCCAATGACAAATGTTGTCGAATGTGTTGTAAATCATGGCAAATAAAATATATATCAATCATGGCAAATAAAACATCATGGCAAATAAAATGTACACATTTTTCATCGCGGTTTTTGCAAGCGTGCTTTTGTCTTACGGTGACAATAAAGAATAATCAGACGAAAAAGCTTCATGCTTTGTTTTCTATTTTGGTGTTAAGGAACAATAACGCTCAACAATAAAGCTTCCGATTTTCCGGCAATATAAAGTGTAATTTTACATGTGCGCGTGCTCGGAGATGAAAAATTGCAAAAACAAACGATACTCTTTCAATGTCGCCATCTTTCAATTTTTCGTATGAGCATGCGGAAGCATACAATCGTAGCATTGCGCGGATCGTAAATACCTGAGAAATTCCATGAATCGTAATGTAACGACGCAGTGCCGGCGTATATATTTACGACCGGTGTGATTCAAAAGAAGTTTCCAATTTTATTTTCGCAACTCACTAAAAACTACCCTCCCCCTTCTCTCTCGCCTTCTTTCTCTGCGTTTTTTATTTTTCGATATTGGCAGAAAACTGGTATATTGGCGATTGAGCGAGAAAGAAAAAGATGCGCGCTCGCATGCCTACTTGTTATTTTAATTATTATAATAAATATCACGAATTATTCGTACATATAAAAAGAGAACTTTTTTAATTCCAAGGTTGAAAGAATGAAGAACGGAAAAAGTGTTGTGTTAATTTTAAATTAACTTTAGTTAATTTTAGATTAACGTATTCCACGCATTTTCCAACATCGCTTCTGGAGTGATGCTGTTCGCGTTTCGTGAAAATTCTGCACGCAACACTGAAGACTTAACACAGTGATACCGATAATAATAATCACAACCAATAACAACAATAATCTAAAGCATGTTCATTAACCGGTAGAAAGAATATATACATATATTATTACATTCAGAAAATTAGACGTGAGGGGAACTCTTTATGTTAATCGACTGGCGTTACAACGAAATACAAGCTCGGGCAGATTTATCATCCTCGGAATCGATCGGGATTAACTGCGCTGCGCGATGCGAATAAAGAATCACGAGAAGCGACGTTTTCTAAAGCTTAATCTCTGACTCACCATTCCGTGACAAAGGCTGACACTGACCGCTGAACTTGGATCGCCATCGACCGATCCGCTGTAGAAGCAGCCCAAGTGATGACCCGCGTGCTCTCTTCTGGTTGTGTTCTCGCCAATGTGCGTCACCTGCGTCGTCATCATGCAAAAGCTAATGAGTGTTGCCGATTAAGTAGCGAAACGACTCGCCAAGATCACGCGACCTTAGCTCGTTTCGCTTTGACACGTATCCTTTCCCTATTGCGCTACACCAGAATATGCATAAGATTCTTCGTCTAGCTCGAGTTATACATAGATATAAATTCTCGTTAAAATATATCTGGGATATATGATGAAAACAGTACGTTAATAAAATGATAGATACAACATAATCGATAGATACAATATCGTTTATCACCGTTGGTACTTACTTTTATGTCAGGAGATACGAAACTGGCGTCGTGCGCTAATCGCAAGCGAAATCGTTTGCCGAAGGCAGTAAATTCGTACTGCGGATGCGGGTCCCACACCTCGGCCGACGTATGGCGGAAGTGACCGCTGTGATGCCTCTTCGCCGTGGAAAACCCTTCGGCTGAAAACAAGAGAGGATTCTTTTTAAGGGTTAGATTATTAATTGTACGTATATATTTTGGACTCACAAGAAGATGGCAAAACATGTAAAATCGATAATTGAATGAGTCATATTTTATTCAAATGGAGGGGTTGAGTACATAAAAACCTTAAAAGGGTTTGCGTGCATGAGCCTTTGTTTGCAAAAAATTTGCAATTAAAAAAACAGCTATACGTTTGGTACAGTAACTTGGAATCAACAAGTGTGAAGCGCGGTAGCCACGAAGACTAAAGCACGCGCTAGTATCTTGTCGTCTACGTCCGAGGAGTCGAGTCGTCGCGGTGCGAATTTTTTTTTATTTATAGTATTATATATTATTATATTTTATAATATTTCTATATTTTTAATATTTTTATTATTTTTTATAGGACAAAAATATAATGCACACATATACAATAATATCTATCTTATTATATAAAAAATAACAGGAATAAATGTTTTAATTATAATATATTAATTATAATAGTTTTATAATAAATAATTAAAACGTTTATTCTTGTTATTTTTTATATAATAAGATAGATATTATTGTATATGTGTGCATTATATTTTTGTTTTGTATAAAATAAGAAAAATATTAAAAATATTGTAGAAATATTATAAAATGTAGTAATACATAACATTATATAAAAAAATTTGGCACTGCGAGGACTTGAACCCTCCTCGGACGTAGACGACCAGATACTAAGCCGTGCCTTAGTCTTCGTGGCTACCGTATTTCTCGCATGTTGATCCCAGTTACTGTACTTAACATGTAGCTGTTTTTTTAATTGCAAATTTCTCGCAAACCTTCAGGGTTTTTATGTACTCAAACTTTCTATTCGAATGAAATATGACTCATTCAATTATAGATTTTACATGTCTTGCCATCTCTTTGTCAGACTCGACGGTAATTGGAGAGAGAAACGAAGAAGACGAGCGATAGAAACAAAAAATTTTTGCACATGTAACACTTACGCGGATCCTCATATTGATTTTGGCTAATTTTTAAAGGCTTCACATATTCCAGATTGTCTTTGATAGGCGGCAACACGTCGATCGAAGTGTCATTGTACCTTTTTGTATTTTGTGTTTCCTCGGAAAGCACTACAACAAACAGAATAATTCAGATAGAAATAATTATGAAACTAAAAAACTGAATAAAGACTAATCTAATACAGAAAAAAATATTTAAAATGTTTTAAAATAAGGTGCGCTTTCTGCAATTTTTCGAGTTGACGTTCGTCCGATAAGACTAACAAGAACCGTGTTGGATCGAGGACGCTCGGGTCGATCGGACAGTACGAAGTGGAAACTATTTCTCAAGTAACAATTTCTTTAGATAATAATATTAACATAACTTGCCGAAGAAGGACAGGACGCCGTTTTATGTATCGCTAATTACCTACCGGCTAAACAAGCCAATCGGCCGATATAAACTGAACAACTGCGTGCGTAACGACCAGGTAGGTACATTCTACGATTTCTCTGGTCGATGCAATCAGGCCTGGCTCTGATAGTTTTTTTACGTTATCACGTATCGAGCCCCGCTTACGCACCACGATCGGGAGCAAGGGGAGAGGTGCCGATATTCATTAATCTAGATTTAACGACGAGAGCGCTTGTGCGAAGCACGACGAACGAGAGAGACCTTGGAGAAATTGTTCGCGGAACAGCGACCATTGCTTTTCGCCTAATTATATCGGGCTTACCTACAACGCAACAGCCACGGTATAGTGCGCCACGTCTGGAGAGAAACACATAGCGCACGCACGGTTCTATAATTACGCACGACAGTTTTCGCGAGACGTATCGAATGTCGGTTTCGAATCTCGCGAGTCGAGAGATAACCGCGAAATGTCTTACGGCCGAGTGTCACGACACAAATGTATTACTGTAATCAAAAAGTATCCGAACTTTATTTTTTTTTAAATCGTGGGTAAACTGTAAATCAAATCCGTTTGCTTTCTTAAGTTAGTACACATGTCCTTCACATTTGATGAAAAAATCATGGCGTTCCTTTAAGACCATCACACATAAATGAACGTAAGACAGTAAGACGTAAGCAGTAAAGAAACTGACTAATCACAATCAATTATTCTCGTAAGTTTTAAAATGGCGTCCTTAAATTCCGATTGTGATTGGTTGATTTGCTTACTGCTTACGTCTTACTGCTTAAGTTCGTTTGCGTGTGATGGCCTTTAAGCCGTTTGAAAGTGGCAGTTGTTTATGTCAGTGAAGATTGTTGTGCACGGCGATTTTACGATGTCGAAAAATATGGAGCAAAGAATTTGTTTGAAATTTTGTGTTGTGAACGAAATTTCGTTCACAAACGCATTCAAAATGTTGCAAAAAGCTTATGGCGATGATTGTTTATCGAAGACAAATGTTTGAATAGCTTAAAAAGTTTCAAGAAGGACAAGAATCCGTTGAAGACAACCCACGCTCTAGAAGACCATCAACATTAACGGATAACGCTCATATTGAGAAAGTGAAGAAATTGGTGCTCCAAAATCATCGATTGACTGTGCGAGAGATAGCAGATGAAGTTGAAATATCATTTGGATCGTGCCAGCACACAATCTGTAAGAAACGACCGGAATTGTGGGAAAACAACTCGTAGATTTTGCATCACGATGACGCATTATCGCATACCTCGACACTTGCGTGAATTTCTGAACTCAAACTGAAAAAACTCAACGAATGTTGCTCCGCAAGCACCGTATTCACCAGATATGGCCCCCTGCGACTTTTTCCTATTCGCCCTACTGAAAAAACCACTTCGCGGACAACGTTTCGAATCGATTGAGGAGATCAAAGAAAAATCGCTGCGTGAATTAAAGGCCATACCGTCTGCCGCGTATGAACGATGTTTCCAGGACTGGATCAAACACTGGCGTATGTGCGTTGCAAGCAATAGGGATTACTTTGAAGGAAACTATAAGAAGAATTTTGATGATTGAATTGTAATTTTGATTTTTAAAAATAAAGCTTGGATACTTTTTGATCACAGTAGTACATGCACTGCGGCTTATGTGGCATATAAAAAAGAAAAAATTTAAGCGATGCAACTTGAGCAGTGAATAAATCTATCAACAATAATCGAGATTTAAAGTCGACTATCATTTTAAATTATATTTCAAATTACATGCATAATTTTATATTATATGTATTAATAATTAATAATAACAATAATAATAATATAATATTATACACTTATAAAAGTTCTCTCTACCTATTTTAACGAGAGAATACATATATCATATATGTTTAACATTTTAGTAATAAATATATCTCTGTCTTTTTCATCTTTCTTTTTAATGCTGCTATATGGGAATATAGCTGCTATATAGAAATAAATTCCTGGAGAAGTTATCTACGGAAAGGAAACGAAATGAAGAAAGACATTTCAACGCTATACACAGCCACAAGTAACACCATAAAAGATTACGGAACAAAGGGATACCGTGTCATACCAGAGGAGATTAAGCCTAGTTACAAAATGTGAACACGTGGGCGACCGCGTCTGAGAATATGCATGTTCAACGTTGCACAATTCTAGCATGGTACGCGGATACCGCAGAGGTAGAAAAGAAAATTTGTGTGACGAACCTACATCGTAAATAATATTCCCCTCTTCAAAACCGAAAGATTTTCATTGCGCGATTATATTATTTCACTTATTTGACAAGTATATTACAACACTTCCAATAAAAAATCTTTCGCAAGCACGATCTCCGCGCCCAGTGAAGTTTTCACTAAATCTGGAAAATCACAATTTTAACGGGAACAATCAACGAAATGTATAAACCGAACGATTAAAAAAACAAGTTCAAAATTTGGGTGCACCAAAAGTAACACGAGTCTTGATGTAAAATCACTTATATTCAGATAAGGTTGTGCTATACGCGATACTTAATACACTGTTTAAGAGACCTTCATCCATTTACATTCTCTCTGATACAAGTTTTCTCTGATACAAGGAGGAGTAAAAAGCATTTAGAGACTATTCCGGCTGATGCATTGCGATAACGCAATCTCATCTTTCACGATAACTTATGTAATAAAAACACGCAACTCACTGAAAACGCAATACGTTTTCTCCAGACATCTTTTATAGATATCATAGTATATACGATTTACGATCGCAATATAAGGTACTCAAAATACTACGACGGGGACAAAGATTGTGAAGGCACGTCAACGTGTTCTCGTTGGCAATGACGAAGTGCTATCGTCGCGCCGGCACGTTTTAACGATCTCTATCATCAACCGACTAAACCGTAAAGCGGAAAGTCTTTTTTACCGGGGTTAACAAATGACTCTGCGATCTTTGTCGCACCCGCCATCCGTGCCGATAATAAACGATCCATCAACGGCTATCAATCACGGATAAGTGCTTACAGTTGAATCTATTAATGGACTATAATGCCACGTCTCCTCGGCTTTCTCTACGTTATATCTTCGTTGATCGCGCGTTGGTTTACCGATACGAAAATGATACGGTACGCGTTCACGGCGCAAACGTTGTGCCATTTTACGACGATTGTGCCATTTTTACGACGATTCAGATCGGTAGATTCGCGTATAACAGTCATCTATAATAGAACGTGCGGCTTGGTTACGTCAACGATTGAAAATACGCGAAAGGAAATACGCGGGAAAGGATGTTTAGCGTCGGAATAAGTTGCTAAATTCGATACATCGCGCAATGTTTGCGTTTTCGACACGTCGTGCCGATTGTTTATCGCAGAACTGCGAGGGGCCGATAGTAATTATCCATTTCAACTCCGCGGGCTTGGGGATTCGACCGCGAGACGTGATACTTTTGAAAATACTGTGGAAACGTGCCAGACGGCGCCAACCCTTTCGAAAGGAGAACAACAGGTTCGCCTCGCGCGCTGAAACTCCTTTGAAAGGTACTCCCGCGACACTAACAATAACTACTTCTGCTTCCACTCTCGAGAGGAAACAATACGGTAACTGTAAATATTTCACCATATCTCACACTTTCAATGGGAATATTCTAAATGACCTGACAGACGTATATGCGTGAAAAGGAAAGAGAAATGAGAGGCAAAGAAATGTATAGTTTAAGATCGTGTTTCCGAAATCGGAAAGCGAAGTGGAAAGGAGCTATTGCAAGTTGCGAACAGAAAATCGGTTGGTTATAAAATGGAATCGTGAAGACGATGCAAGAAGGATCTGTCTAGAAAAACTAACGGCAAGAAGGACAATTCTCTGAACGTTCGACGAATCATGTACACACTAATGTTAACAACGCTAATCGTTTTTCTCAGAATAACGTTTAACTAGTTCCCTGCATATCTGCATTAATAATAGAGCATATACCAACAATTTTCTCGATCGCTGCTTGAAAGCTGAAATGATAACACGACTCGTAAGTATCAGCCTCGCCTGTCAAGCACCGACGTGACAACAATAACATGGCATTACCAGTAAATCTTATGTTGCACGTTGGTACATACATAATCATGTCTTGTAACTATGTCGTGGGGAAAAATACAACAGGGTTAAACAGTCACTCGAAGTACACTTCTCGCTACAAAATGGTCCTTGTGACGTGTAAATTAAATGCAATAACGATGTTCGGGAATTGTTTTGGGAAACGTTCGATGTTCCATTCAGTACTAATACATTCCATACAGGACTAATATTCGTCCATCTTTCTGTATTAGCTTTACGGATCACTAGAAAACTACGCGAACCAAAAGACGAGGTATTCTCGTGACAATATCTTTCTTTGTCACGTTGATAATTAATTATCATTTTCATTGACGAGGAATTATAAGAAACCTTCAGCCTAAATTTTTGTGATCGTAAAAAGGACATGGTGAGAGTGTACATTAAGTTAGCCCTACCTTTTTTGAAAATTATATTTTTGAAAGTTGTTCCAGGTTGTTTAACTTTGTACCACATTGTCCCAAAGCGATATTATTTTATTCCAAACAGTTCTCAAATAAAACGAGAAAAACTGTTTTTTAACAGGTCCCCCCTTTTTCAAAAATCTAATATTTCTTTATCGTTACAGATTGTTCTAGTTATTCCAAACATTGTTCCAGAAGAACAATTCCGTAAGTCGAACC